TGGACAGGGGCCTCTGAGCCCGTGTGCTGCCCGCCCTGACACCCGCGATGGCTGGAACCCTGTCCTGGCCGGCCTGCATGGCTCAGCTGCTCCTCGCAGATAAGCACTGTCGCTGGCCCTGCCCCGACCCCTACTGTCCCGACCCCTATCACCGCTGGCCCTAAGCACCCGCCTCACCTCCCGGCCCCACAAAACTCCTGCGATCCTTGATTCTGCAGCGCCCTCTCGTGGGCACCTGGCGCAGTCTGGAGAGAAGACCCAGGCTGCCGACTCGTTGGGAGGCAGCCATGTGAGCTGGTTGTGGCTCCTAGAGTCCCGTGTTCATGTTTCCCACTGCTCCCTCTCGCCGCGCCGCACCCAGTTCCGCACAAACAGCTGCCGGCGTGCTTGTGCGCGTGGGGGACGGGCAGGCGCTCAGTGTGGGGAGATGCCAGTCCAGGGCCCTAGTGACTGTCCTGTCTTTGTGACCCATGCACCCCAGAGTCAGGACCAAGGGCCTAGGATCCCCACGGAGCTCTCGAATCCTAGGGAAGTCTGGGGGAGGGCACTTGCCCGGGGCTGAGTGGGAAGGAAACACAGCCCTGTCCAGAGACCCCGGCCCAAGGCCCCAGAGCCGGGTCTGCATTCTGCCCCAGGGGACGGAGGCTCCTTGCCCACCCCCGACCAGGTTCTGCCCCACCACCCTGGCGTGGCTACTTCCTTCACGACAGCTGACCACCGGCTCCTCTCTCTCCCGCAACTTGAACGTCTGTCTGCCCAGCCCTTGGGGTGCTCTGGCCTTTCCCCAGGGCCCCCTTCAGCTTCCCCGGCCCCTATTCTCTGGGAAGAGGTCCCCCCAACACACTCATCCATCTTGTATCAGCGCCACCTGCAGGCTCTTCCTGGCGCCCCAGCCCCACCTGGAATAGTGATGCCATCACCATGGCCACCGCCCAGCCTCTCTCCCTGTGCCTCCGCCAGGGGCTGCCAGTCCATGGACAACAAAGGTGCCAGCTGCAATGCCCCTGGCACCTGCCCTAGTCCAGTGGCTTTGGGGAGGGCCCGGTCAGCCTGGCTGCAGACTGAAATGTGCTGCTGGGTGGGGAGGGCAGGGCGGGCGCTGTCCGTCCCTGCCCACGGCGCGCCCGTTCTCAGAGCGCCTCTGCAGGTGCCGCGCTGCCGGCCACTCCTGCCCAGATAGGAGTGAACAAGGGCTGCAGCCCAGGGACACAGGGGCCTAGAGGGAAGGGGCAGAGACACAGAGGCCACACAGGGCAGGAGGGGGAGAGATGGCCAAGGCTACACCACACAGCCTGCTTGATTGACAGGCGGATGGCTTCCCATGGCCCCACCGACAGCCCACCCGGAGGCCGTCTCTACCTTGGTCCCTAATGATCAATTCCCAGAGAGAGAACAAGGAGGCCAATACGAAGAGCAAGAAGAGAAACTGAGGCACACACCTGGGGTGGGGGCATGCTGTTCCGTCTCCCTGTGGGAACAGATCTGGGGGAAATACACACTCCAGCTCTCATCCCCTACACCTGCACAATCAGACGCTGTGGGCATGGGCCCCAGGAATCTACATCTAAATCTGCTGAGTGGCAAAGGGTCCAGCCACTTTGAAATGTACCAGCAAGGTCAGAAAAATTGGCAGGTGCGAGAGGGACTGGTGGGTAAGAAACACTAGGGCAGAGCGTTAACTAAGACGTCTCACAGGTGGGTGACACTTCCGGTGGGCCGTTCCTTGCACTTTCTGTACATCTGGGAATTTTCCTAAGAAGCTGCTGGAGTACCTCTCCCAAGTTACTGGGTGATCGGGCAGGGGCGGGGCTGCTGCTGCAGAAGTACTTGCTTGGAGGCCCTGGGCCGTGTGCTTCACGCCCCTCTGACCGCCAGCCTCAGGCATCACAGAGTCACAGCCTTCCCAGGGTGCACAGCAGGCTGGACAAGGCCTGCCCATCCCTTGGGTTCTTTTTGTTTTTCTTTTAAAGATTTATTTATTTGAAAGGCAGTTACAGAGAGGCAGAGGCAGAGAGAGAGAGAGAGAGGTCTTCCATCCACTGGTTCACTCCCCAATTGGCTGCAACAGCCGGAGCTGCGCCAATCTGAAGCCAGGAGCTAGGAGCCTCTTTCAGGTCTCCCATGTGACTTTTCAGGGGCCCAAGCACTTGGGCCATCTTCTACTGCTTTCCCAGGATATAGCAGAGAGCTGGATCGGAAGTGGAGCAGCTGGGACTTGAACCGGCACTCGTGTGGGATGTCAGCATCACAGGCAGAGTAAGCCCACTACACCACAGCACCAGCCCCTCCTCGGGTTCTGATGCAAGTTTGCACTGAAGCCCCCTTGCCTGGGTCTCCGTGTTGAGCAGGATCAGGTGGTCCCTGGGCTTTGTCCTGCCTGGCAGGTGGTCTGAGGCTGGTCCCTGTGGGGCACTTGTGCCAGAGTGAGAAGCAGACCAACAGTCTGGGCTGGGGGCCGAGCATGGAGCACAGAGGCTAGAAGTTCTCCTGGAAGAATCTGAAGTGGAAGTCCGCGCAGTGGGCCCGCAGCACCTTGGCCAGGGCCGGGGAGCCGCAGAAGAAGACCTGCACCTTGCCCTTCTTCTCAGCGGCCACTTTCTGGAACACCTGCAGTCCGCGGGGTTGGGGAGAACACAGAAGGGTGGTGGGATGGCCAGCCTGCCCACCACACACCTGCCCGCTGGAAGTGAGCATGTGATGGTGCCAGCAATGAGCATCCCCATGGACAGAGGACACTGTGCAGCCCCGAGATGCACCTGCTGCGCTTGACTGTAGAGCCCGCCCTTGGCTGTTCATTTAAGGGCCGCTGCTCAGCTCCCAACACAACCCAGGAGCTCAGGCAGGGGCTGGGGCCAGAGATAAGCAAGAGCCAAGCCCTGCACTCTGGGATCTGCCTCCGTGGAGGACATATGCACCAAACCGCAGGCAGCAATGGCATGCCGTAGCAGACATGCGTGAGGCTACATGCTCCCAACTCCATGCCCCGACTGCTCAGGAGAGAATGAAAATGATCAAAGCAATCTAAGAAACAAAATGGAAAGATTGCAATTCTTTGCATCTTGGGCCTCAGTTTCCCCTCTTGGTGACAGTAGAAGCTAGACTCAATGTCTCCCGAGGATCCAGTCCTCTTGGGCTTCCTCCCTCTGGGAGCCGTGGCTGGCAGGGCCCTGATGGGTCTGTGGGCTAACGTCCTCTGTGAGCGAGCTGGGGTTTGCTGGCCCGCTCGGCCATCCTGTCTGGCCCGTGACTGCAGGGCCCCTGGCTGCTCGTTCCCTGACCTCCCGGCTGCGCCTCTGGCTGGTGAAGCCGTGCAGGCTGCCTTTACCTTGTTCCAGTCCGGCCGGCCAGGCTGTGTGCGGGTCTGGAGGCCTGTGATGGAGTCCTTCTTCTCCTTCTCGGCCAGGAGGTCGAGGGCCATCTGCAGGCCAATGGCCTTCATGTCGTTCTTGCCCAGGGCAGAGGTCATGTACATGTGCAGCTCCAGGAATCGGTCTGTGGGCGGGGGGAGGGCGTGCTGCTGAGAGGCTGGTGCCAGCCATGGCCTCGCCTGGAGCGTGGAGCGAGACCGAGGTCTCAGAACACGTGCCTTCAGCCAACCATAGTGGCCGGAACCTGTCACGGGGTCGGGCTCTGGAGAGGAGACGGCCCACGGCTTGAGCTGGGCCTACTACGTACAAGACACACACGAGCTCCTTAATACTCACTGCGGGCGTGCGCCTTCCAAGCACCACACTAGCTAAGCCTGATTATAGAAGGGGCCGTGGATCCCAGGGTGGCCAGCATGGGGGTCCTCAGGCTCAAAGCTCCTGCCCTTCCGTTTCTCGTTGTGTCCATCTCCAGAGTACTTGGGGACATGAGCCAAGCGTGTGTGAAAAGGGGTCAGGTCACAGGGCTGAGGGAGGCACGAAGGGTGCAGACAGCACGCGCCAATGACGGGCAGGGACAGGCTCCAGCAGATGGAGGGGTGGGGGCTGGGTCAGGTCTCAGGGGCAGGATTGGGGTGGGGGTGGGGGGTGGAAGAAGGCAGCCTAAGAAGGAAAGGTAGGAGCAGAGGCCAAGAGGTGGGAGCAGGTGCGGCTCAGGGTGACCGCCTGGCTGGAACAGAGAATTCTCCGGGGATGGAGTGTGCAGCTGTGGGCAGGGAATCTCTCTCGCCTGCTCTGCCTCCATTGCTGGCCCCGTGCAGGGCTTTGGGCCGTCTCTGTGGCTTCACCTGCCGCCTCCCTTGGCCCATTCTCCACTGCCTTCATGTCCCAGCCACTGTGGCAAAGCCAACGGCCCCAGGAAGGGTTCAGTTGTGTCACAAATCACCTGGGCCTTGGCAGTGCCAGGTGGTATGGGCCAGAGGGAGATGCATTACAAGGAAAGCCCACATGAGGGGTCCCAGTCCTTCGAGCTCTCCCTCGGAGTCTCTGTGCCCCCGAGAGGGCTGAGAGGAGGGGACAGGAGGCAGCAGGGTAGCAGGGGGAGAAAGGGAGGGGTGGGGCCTCTCCAGACAGCCGTGTTGGGGCGGTCGTCCCAGTTCTGGAACATCCACAGGAAGGAGACAGAGAACAGCCACGCGCACAGCTATATTCATCTCAGCTTTGTTCATGACAACTCCAACAGAAGGTTGAAGATTAAGCTATAGGATTGAAAAACAGGCCGGCACCGCGGCTCACTAGGCTAATCCTCCGCCTTGCGGTGCCGGCACACCGGGTTCTAGTCCCGGTCGGGGCGCCGGATTCTGTCCCGGGTGCTCCTCTTCCAGGCCAGCTCTCTGCTGTGGCCAGGGAGTGCAGTGGAGGATGGCCCAGGTGCTTGGGTCCTGCACCCCGTGGGAGACCAGGAGAAGTACCTGGCTCCTGCTATCGGATCAGCGTGGTGTGCCGGCCGCAGCGCGCTGGCCGTGGCGGCCATTGGAGGGTGAACCAACGGAAAAGGAAGACCTTTCTCTCTGTCTCTCTCTCTCACTGTCCACTCTGCCTGTCAAAAACAAACAAACAAACAAACAAAAAAACGGTGGACCAGCCTCATGGCGCAGCAGGTTAAGCCACGGCTTATGGTGCTGGATGCATCCCATCTCGGAGCACTGGTTGGAGTCCCGGCTGCTCTGTTATGGGTCCAGCTCCCCACTAATGCACCTAGGAAGGCAGCAGAAGATGGCCCAAGTGCTTGAGCCCCTGCCACCCATGTGGGAGACCCGGATGGAGCTCCTGGCTGTTGGGGCCGTTGCGGGGAGTAAACCAGCAGATGGAGGCTCCTTCTCGCTTTCTGTCACTCTTTCCAATAAACAAATCTTTTTTTTTAAATCATAAGCCACAAATTCTTGCATTAAAACCTTGCTGTATAAAGTTGAAGCCAGGACCTACAAGTTCCAGAGGCAGTTAATGAGAAACCCTGAAAGAAATCTGATGTAAGAAACTGTTGGCTCAAGGTGCTCTGCGAATGCAAAGCCCTGGGTTAGCCCCACCCCTTTTGTTTACACACATGAGGAAGAAGCAAACAGCAAATATTTATATACCAGCAACTAGACATTTTAAATTTAATTGGAACTTCTCCTCTAGCTTGTCATCATAAAATTAAGTTCCTAATGAATTCATATACGTAAGAGCATTGAGGATGAAGTCAACGCTATCTAAATATTTGCTGTAATTGTTCCGGGCCAGGCGGGGCGGGAGCCTCGCTGTGATGGTCTAAGCTTTATGAGCCACCTCCCCAGAGGGTCCCCTTGAACTTCGGGCTTTGAATGTTTGTTACGGTAAACTGTCTGAATGTTTCCTACAGAAAACCATGGGTTTCATTATTTGAACTTGTGTTTATCGTAGCGATTTGAAGTTATTCATGAAAACCTTGTGATAATTAAGCAGCCCAATAAGATCTATTTCCAGGGAACTCAGCCAGTGGAAAAAAACTACCTCAATTCTCTTAAAGTTAAAAATGTATCTAAAGAGATTTCTCCTTGTGCCCCTGAAACAAAACAGAGACCCAGAAGAAGCTGGGAGACCCGTAAGAAGCTCCTAGCCCCTGGCTTCAACCTATCTGGGAAGTGAACTAGCAGATGGAAGATCTCTGAGGATCTCAGTTCATTCTCATTCTCTCTCTCTGTTTCTTTCTCTCTCCCCCACCCCCCACCATCTCTCCCTCTTTCTATATATAACTTTGACTTTCAAATAAATAAATAAATCTTTTTTTAAAAAACCTTATTATATTTATAAGGAATTTGTGTTGAGCAAAAGGAACCACCTTAACCAGCAGTTTCCAGCAGGTGCAGAAGGACTGGAATTGCTGCGAGAAGGGAGACCAATGAGGTCAGTGCACAAGGGCCAGCTTTCTGCCTGGTGCCAGCGTCATGACGATGAGGGTCAGAAACTAGAGTGCAGGGAGGCCAAGGGAGCTCCACTCTGCTGGGCACAGTGTGGGAAAGGGGAATTGCAGACAGAAAAAGGGGGAAGGAAGGAAGAAGAGAGGCAGGGAGGGAGGGAGCGAAGGAAGGGAAGGGCAGGCAGAGGGAAGCTGTGGACTCAGTGACTCGGAAGCTGCATCAAGTTCCCCCTGAGTCCTTGGCTGCAGCTGTGAGGAAGAAAATGACCCGAAAACACAAGGGTGAAAAGGAGTGGAGAGAGCTTGCACTACACAGGGCGCCAGGTCGTGTGATATCAGAAGTGTACCCATTAGTGCTGGAGCTAACAACCCTACACTAGGAGCTGCTCTGGATGCTGGCAAAAACTGCAAGCATGTCTTGAAAAAACCCACAGAATCCTAAAGAACTATGCACCAGGAAGGAGTGCAGGATGGTTTGAAGACATATCACAAAATCTGCAGTACAAAACGGAAGAGCCACAAAGTCTGAGAGCCAGGCATGCAAAGACGCCAGAGAACATGATTTAGTTGGGAGAAAAGGAGTCCTTGGAAACAGACCTGGGAGTGGCAGAGATGACGACTCAGCAGACAAAGACGCTGAAGTGATCCTTACAACTGTGCTCAAGGACAGTAGAGCGAAACGAACAAAACAAACGTAATGAGGAAAGAAATGGGAGACACTGCTGGGGAAGGAAAATACAATAACAGAACTGAAAAACACAATGGACAGACTCAACAGTGGCTCTAAATCTGTTGGATTTCCATGTAAATGCTAGAATCCGCTTGTCAACAGCTATTGTAACTACCTGTTGGGATTTTGATGAGGATGAGGTGCTGCAGAAGAGAGGAGCCGTGAACTTGAAGATGCGCAAAAGAAAGCATTCAAAATGAAGCAGTGAGAGGGAGAACACTCCTGTCACCTGTGGGATGCTATCAAGCTGTTTAACATACCAGTAAATGGAGTGATAGGAAGGGGGAAAAGACACAGAAAAAAAATATGTATGTGGGTTGGCGCTGTAGCATAGTGGGCTAAGCCTCCACCTGTGGCACCTATGGACACTGATTCTAGTCCTGGCTGCTCCTCTTCTTATCCAGCTCTCTGCTGTGGCCTGGGAAAGCAGTAGAAGATGGCCCAAGTCCTTGGGCTCCTTCACCCACGTGGGAGACCCGGAAGAAGCTCCTGGCTCCTGGCTTCAGATCAGCGCAGCTCTGGCCATTCCAGCCATTTGAGGAGTGAACCAATGGACAGAAGATCTTTCTCTCTGCCTCTCCCTCTCACTGTAACTCTACCTCTCAAATAAATATTAAAATAATAAAATCTTATTAAAAAGAAAAAGAAAAAATACATATGTAAAGAGAAAGTAGCTGAAACTTTTCCAGCTTGGTGAAAATTATAAGCCCATATATACAAAAAGTTCAGTGAACTCCAAGTATAAGGAAATGAAGCAAGTCAAAGTGAGACACATCATAAGAAACACTGAAGACCAGTGATAAAGATAAAACCTTTGAAGTGACTGTTCCACGGTGTAGTCACACAGAGCTTGCTGGCACAGGCCAAGCAGTCCATGTGGCCTTTTACATTTGAGAGACATGGTGAACACTACGGTGAACTCCAGACCTACGAGGTTGCTGCTGGCATAACCCCGCATCCTGTCTTACAGGTAACATTGGTTTTTAGAAGTGGAAAGGACACACTCTAAAATAATCTAAATGTATATTATACTACACAGATAAACAGTAGCATAGTCATTGTTATCAAGCATTATGTGTTGCATGTAATTGAATTGCTGTACTACTGTGTTACTGGCAGCCCAGGTTTGCTTGTCCCAGCATCACCCCAGACAAGGGAGTGATGAATTTTGCTACAATGTTACAGTGGCTACTATGTCAGGAGAGAGTAGGGATTTTTCAGCACCATTGTAATTATGTGGTTCACCATTGGCCACAAAATGTCATGTGGCACTTGAGTGTTTACTATGGTAAAGATGTTATACTAAACAGCTGTAAGAAGTTAAAGATGTAATAAACCCTACAGCAACCACTAGAGCAATAAAATAAAACAATAACGTACACTTAATAATCAAATAATGGAGAAAATGATTATACAAATATATAATTAATATGAAAGTGTAGAGGGAAGGAGGGGAAAAAGGACAAACAGAAAACAAACGATGGTGGATTTGAACCCAATTATATCAGTAATTCAGTAATTGTGTTACATAGAAATGGACTAAAAACTCCAGTTAAAAGGCAAAGATTATAAGATTGGACTTATAAAAAGAAAGATCCAGCTACAGCCTGTCTGTAAGAAACTCTTTAAATATAAAGATACAGACTACTTAATGGATGGAAAACACTGGAATTTCTCTACCGATGTCAGGAAGAGGAGACTCCAGAGGAGGGCTCTCCTCAGGACATCATATGCTGAGATGGCGGTTCATTCACCAAGAAGACAAACCCTCAGTGTGTGTCCATGCTTGCTGCGGAATGAAGGCTCTGACTGGCCTCTGTCTCTGGATCTTGGGAAAGAAACTTAAACCCTTGGAATTTCCCAATATGGGTATCTCTGTTACTCAGGAGCCCTTGGATCGCTCCTGGGTTTGTGCTAACAGATAGGATGACTTATCGGGACTAGTCACAGTGAATAGAAGATCGGGGTTTGAGTCAGTCCAAGCACTGGTGAGTGTAGGGCAGCTGAGGCTTGAGGTCAGTCATTCGGTCAGTGATTCAGTCACTTGCTCCTGGTTGCTGAGCTGGAGGCTGACGGATGCATCTTGGTTTCACAGGGAGAAGGCACAGAGGCTCTGTGTACAGCACTCTCCCTACGGGTCCTGCGTTGTGTCCTTTCTGTAAAACTGTAAGCCCAAGTATAGCACTTTCCTGAGTCCCTTGAGTCATTGCAGTGAATCATTTAGCCTGTGGTGGGTGTGAGAACCCACGCATCGCAGCCCACTGGTGAGGAGTGTGAGTGACCTAACAGCCGTCGTGAAGGACTGAGTCCTCGCCTTGTGTGGTATCTGTGCTAACTCGGGCCAGTTACGGGTAGAATGACATTGCAAATACCAGTTGGTGTCAGAAAAAGCTTACCAAAGAGCTTTGAATAAACAAAGCCAAGGGGAAATAGGTAAGTCCATAATGACAGCTGGAAATTTAAACACTCCTGTTCTGGTAACTGACAGAACAGATAAAAGTCAGACATGAACAGCATTCTTGGCCCACCTGATCACTTGCAGAACAGTGGAATTTCACATTCTTCTCATTTGCTGAGGGAATAATCACCAACAAAGACCATACTTCAGGTTATAAAACAAGTTTCCATCACATTTAAATGAACATGTCCTAAAAAATGTACTCTCCCTCTACAACACAATTAAATTAGAAATCAGTAGCAGAAAGAAAGTTCCAAATGTTTTAAAATGAAACAAACGTATAATTGGCCTATGGATCAAAGAAGACATAACAAAGAAAATCAGAAAACATTCTGAGTGAATGATAATGAAAATGCATACAATAAAAATTTGTGTGAGGCAGCTACAGTATTCTTTAGAAATAAATTGATAATATTAAATATATTACAAAAAAGCAAGGCCTTAAGTGTTAAGAAATTAGAAATAGAAGAGCAAATTATATGCAACATAAACAGAAAGATGGAATTAAGGTGATAAATCAGTAAAATAAGAGACAAAAAATTGAGAAATCAGTGAAATTAAAAACTGATTATTTGAAAAGATCAATAAAATTGATAATCCTCTGATGTCCTGTTCAGGAATGAAAGAGAAAAGATAAGTGACTAACATTGGGAATGAAAAGGGGGCATCACTACAGACCACACAGACATGAAAAGGATAATAAGATAATATTACGGATATTATAAAGCCAATAAATTCAGTAACTTAAAAAAAGGACAGATTTATTGAAATGTACCAACTACCCAATGTAGATTTAATGAAATACACTAGCTACCAAAGGTAAGAAGAAATAGATCCAGAGAAAGGAAGAAAATTTTTTGTGAATGATATATTTGATAAGAGGCTGTATCTAAAATATATAAAGAACTATTACAACTCAAGAATAAAAGAGACAAAAATCCAGTTAAAAAATAGAACAAAGGCATAAATAGATTAAAAGATGCCCAACATCATTAGCCATTGGGGAAATGCAAATCAAAACCACAATGAGGGCCGGCGCCGTGGCTCACTAGGCTAATCCTCTGCCTAGCGGCGCCGGCACACCGGGTTCTAGTCCCGGTCGGGGCGCCGGATTCTGTCCCGGTTGCCCCTCTTCCAGGCCAGCCCTCTGCTGTGGCCAGGGAGTGCAGTGGAGGATAGCCCAGGTGCTTGGGCCCTGCACCCCATGGGAGACCAGGAAAAGCACCTGGCTCCTGGCTCCTGCCATCGGATCAGCGCGGTGCGCCGGCCGCAGCGCGCCGGCCGCGGCGGCCATTGGAGGGTGAACCAACGGCAAAAGGAAGACCTTTCTCTCTGTCTCTCTCTCTCTCTCACTATCCACTCTGCCTGTCAAAAAAAAAAAAAAAAACAAAACAAAACAAAAAAAAAACCACAATGAGCTGTTGCTTCACATCCATTAGGATGACTATAATAATAATGAGAATGATAATAATAATAAACAGATACCAATGAGTGTTGGTAAAGACATGGAGAAACTGGAACCCTCGTACACAGCTGAGAGGAGCAGCCAATTTGGAAAATAGTCTGCAGCCCCTCAAAAAACTGAACATAGAGTGAGCATGTTCAGATAACCAGCAATTCCTCTCCCACGTGTTACCCAGCAGAAATGAGAGTGGTCATCGATATAACAGCTTGGATGTACATAGTCATTGCACCTGTATCCAAAATAGCCCCAAAGGGAAATACCTTCCATGTCCAAAAACAAGGGAACACAAAAGCAATTGCACTATATCCGTAAAATGGAATACCACTCACCAATAGAAAGGAACAACTACGTATTGAAACTAGCATCTTTCATCTGCTGGTTCACTCTCCAAATGGCTGCAACAGCCAGGGCAGGGCCAGGCCAAAGCCAGGAGCCAGGAGCTCCATCTGGGTCTCCCACATTGAGTAGCAGGGGCCCAAGCACTAGGACTGTCTTTTGCTGCTTTCCCAGGCACATTAGCAGAGAGCTGGATGGGAAGTGGAGCAGCCGGGACTTGACCCAGTGCTCACATGCGATGCCGGTGGTGCAAGGAAGACTCAGCCTCTGCTCCACAACACCAGCCTCAAGGAATCTAAATGTTTAACAGTGCCCATTTCACATGAAAGATTCATCATCAGAAGAGAAATTACAAAAATAAAAGACTATACTTTCATAAAATGAGAATTTAAAAAAATGAAAAGGGGAGGGAAATCCTATGAAGTGCCTGGAGCGACTTGCACAGCTGGCTGGGATTATGTGCAATTTCCTCCTTTCTCTTTCTCTGTCTTTCCACTTTACAAAGTGTTAGCTTTTAGTGGAATCCACCCCCACCCACCTTTGCTAACGATGGAATAAACACCTTCCCAAAAAGTTCCTGAGTTTACTTTTAAATGGTTCGTTTTGTGCTATGTGAACTTCACCCTGATTAGAAAATGAAGACCCCAAGTGCCCCGCCCCACAGCACTGCCCTCAAGCCCTGTCCCTCTCCTACCTTGCTCAGCTTCCTTGGCCTGCTCCATCTCCAGCCTGGTCAGCAGGCTCACAAACCACTCGAAAGCCCTCTGGTCTCGGTTGATCCAGATGAAGTCCACCTGCAGAGAGCAGCCCTTTGTTCAGCACGGCCCCTCCCAGGCAGCAGGCTCACCTCTGTGGCTCCTGGACCCAAATGCCCACACTGGTGACACGGGACAGGCATCATCACCGCCATTCAACACAGGGGAGAATGGAGGTGAGGAGCCTTGCCCGGGCCACAGAGCCACACAGGACGAGAGCCTGCGCTCCTAACTCCAGGGCCAGCATTGTCTCTGCTGGTTATAGCAAGCAGTGCTTAGATACTAACAGAAAAATAATTAGTTATTCTGTTAGAAGCTCCCTTAAGTGGCCTATGTATAAGAAAGGATTTCTTTTTTTTTAAAAAAAAAAAAAGATTTATTTATTTATTTGAAAGTCAGAGTTACACAGAGAGAAAGAGAGGCAGAGAGAGGGAGTCTTCCATCAGGTGGTTCATTCCCCAACTGGCCACAATAGCCGGAGCTGGGCTGATCTGAAGCCAGGAGCCAGGAGTTCCTTCCAGGTCTCACACGTGGGTGCAGGGGCCCAAGGACTTGGGCCATCTTCACTGCCTCCCCAGGCCACAGCAGAGAGCTGGATTGGAAGTGAAGCAGCTGGGACCTGAACTGGTGCCCATATGGGATGCCGGCACTGCAGGTGGTGGCTTTACCTGCTACGCCACAGCTCTGACCCCAAGAATAGATTTCAAAATGTAAAAACACATTTCACTTGTAAAACCTCCGTGGGGTCAGGGACAGCAGGCCTTGTGGTTGTAACTGACTCCAGATGACCTGACTTTCAAGCTGCACAGCCTCCAGTGGGGGTCTCACTGGCGGCAGATGGCCGACAGGAGACACATGGATAGTGAGGGGCACCAGGAGAACCTGGGGTATCCGGGGGAGACAGGTGGCTTGTAGTGAGCTGAAGGACCCCAGGAGGGGACGGTCATCTGTCCCTCCCCACCTCTGCACGGGAGGACCAGCTCTGTTCCAGGAGGTGTCCTGGGGAGAAGTTTGGGAGGCCTGCCTGCAGGAGGCAGCACTCACCTTTTGGAGTTTCATGTCCTCGTCCTGGATGCCACTAGACCAGCAATGATGGCATTTGGGACAAACTCGCTTCCTCTGCTGGTGCCTGAGGTAGGAGGAAGGGGGTTTTGGATCCGGGGTGAATACAAGACTTTTCAGCACCCCAAAGAGCAGTTCAGGAGAGGGTGGTAGTGTCCACTCTAAGAGGAAGGGGAGGGATGAGACGCACAAAAGGGACAGAGGGAAGAAAAGCAGGAGAGAGAAGAGGAAATGCTAGGAGGGGAGCAGGTGGAAGGGGAGGAAAGAGGAAGAGAAGGGGGAGGGTGAGAGGGAGCACAACGCCCTGCACTTGGGCCCAGGGCCCAGGCAGTGGCCACATCTGGCTGCCCCTCCCTCACCTGTACAGGACGCCCTGCAGGACGGCGCACCTGCCTCACCTGCACAGGACGCCCTGCAGGACGGTGCACCTGCCTCACCTGTGCAGGACGCCCTGCAGGATGGCTCACCTCCCTCACCTGTGCAGGACGCCCTGCAGGATGGCTCACCTCCCTCACCTGTGCAGGACGCCCTGCAGGATGGCTCACCTCCCTCACCTGTGCAGGACGCCCTGCAGGACGGCGCATCTCCCTCACCTGTGCAGGACGCCCTGCAGGACGGTGCACCGGCCTCACCTGTACAGGATGCTCTGCAGGATGGAGGCGAAGGGCGTGATTCCAATGCCCGCCCCAATCAGCACCGCGTGCTCTGCGGCGAAGATCCTGCGGGTGGGGCTCCCATAAGGGCCGTCGATGTAGCACTGGGCATGGGTGGGTGTGAGAGAAGAGAGCACCGCGTTATGCTCAGGCCGTCATCCCGCGGCTAGAACCAGCGGCTCCCGCGCCAGTGCTCCTGGCACTTGCTGTGTGCCCAGCACGAGTCTGGGGAGATCCCTGGCAGGTGCGAGTGCAGATGCGCTGAGATGGGACCCAGCAGAGCCCCTCCTCTGCACACGGGCTGCTAAGGAGCTGCGCACGGAGCTCTCTGCACTCATCCCACCCCTGGAGGAGGCATGGGCAGAGGAGGGGCTGGGCAGCATGCATATGAAGAGCAGGGGGTGGCGGAAGTCGGGCTGTGGGGCTTTGAGGAGCACGGGCACCACAGCCAGGGTCGTCCTCCCGCGGGGGGGAGGGGCGGGCGTTCTCGGCCATGGCCAGCCTAGAGCCTCTCACCTTAATGTTGCAGAACTGGTGGCTCTCGGAGGGCATCTCGGGGGCCTGCAGAGAGTTAGGGGGGCTCTGGGGTTTGGGGAAATGACAGCGACCCTGATCGTGAGCATCTGCCCATCTCTGGGGTGCCAGTACTGCCACCACAACGACCACGGTAGCCGTCCCTGAGAATGTCCCCACTGGCTCTTATGGTCCTGTCCAGGTCAGCACCCGGCTCACCTCTTAGCTCAGCCTCCAGCCACTCCCACCTTCCTTATCTCCAGCTGGCCTGGGACATTCTTCTCCCTCTGCCTAAATCTCCCTTCTGCTGCCCCCGCCTGTCACTCACCCTGCACTGTCCAGCTCATTGGAAGTAGAGCTTCGCTCGGCTGCTCCAAGAGCCAGAGTCTCCCACCCTGGCCCAAGGCTCCACCCGCCTAGCCTAGTCTCTGCTCTGGGGGTGCTGGTGCATGCGCTCTCCGAGGCAGCACCTCCTCTGTCTGCAGTGGCTGCCCACCATCTCCAGCTACAGCCCCCCGTAGACAGACAGACAGACAGATGGACAGACAGTCAGAGCCAAAGCCCTTCCTTTGGAAGGTGAAGGAAGCAGAGCCCAGAGTGGATCTGAAGGGACCTGAGACAGTTGTGCCTGCTGAGGGAGGCAGAGCTGGGAGGGGGCCTCCCAGCCAGCCGGCCAGTCTCACGGGCCCTGGGAGAGGAGCCAAGGCTGGGAGTGTGGACAGAACTAGCCCAAGATCCCACAGAGCCAGGAAGAGCCTGGGGCCGGGGCTGCCCCAACAAGACCACCACATCTCAGCGCCTGGCTGCTTGGTCTGGGGGCGACGGAATTTCGCATTCCCCACAGTGGAGGACATGAATTTGGCTCCCCTACAAGTTTCTCTAATCCTTCTGATGGCACCCAGAAAGCCTGACACTGCGCCAGCACCTCTGGAGCACCTGCTAACTTTTCTTTTTTTAAACAAAGTGAGAAAGGGAGGGAGAGTGAAAGGGAGAGTAAGGGAGCGGAGGAGTAGGGGAGGCGGCCCTGGCTCGATTTTCATTGATTTTACTTTCAGAGCAATGCTTTGTTTTCTGTTAAACACGGCCATCTAAAGAAGCCTTTTTAAATGTAATTAAGTTTAACAGTGCCGTGGGGAAGTAAGAGAAACATGCAATAGGCAGAGTTAGTGGCAGGTGGCTGGTGATGGGTTGCAGCCACAGCAGGGGCTGTGTGCCGCTTCCTGCACGGGGGCTGGGCTTCCCAGCCCCTGGGAGATGAGCCAGCCCCGCCCACCCCACCCCCCCCAGCTCCCGCAGCCTTACCAGGTCTGCGGAAGAGGCTGTCCCTGGTGCTGCAGCCTCTCTCTCAGTCCTGGTGCATGCCCAGTCTTCACCACCCTGCTGGGCAGGTCCTTCGCTGTATGACGCCAGGTCCACAATGGCGTCCTTGGAGGCGGCCACTGTTCCCTGGGCTGGGGCTCCAGAATGGACGGGCTGGGGCTGCACACCCTGTTTATTTTTGTGATGGAAACTGCTTTAGGATTTAAATCACAAGATGGATACGTGCTAGTTGAACACAATGACACAAATCGGTGAGAAATGTTTTAGACAACATAACCACGCTTGACCAGCCTTGCACATGAGTACACTGGAATGTAGATCATCTTTTAGGCACCTTCTATCCCGGGAGAGGGATGATCCCTGGCTGGGAGTCTGGACTGGCTCCACTGGCTCCCTATGCTGAACCACTGTCCCCAAGGAAGTAGCGTCTTTCCCAGCAGTGCCCCTTGTCCCCTTGTCCCTGCGTTATTCCTCTGTGTAACACTCGTCACCACCCGCCTAGTCGCCTTGTGTGTTCTGTCTCCCCAGCAGGGGGGCGTCAGGTGCTAGGCCTACTTGGCTCAGCTGCGGCCTGGAAGACAGTCACCGCTGTGCTGGAGCCATCTGCGCTAAAGGAATGCATCCAAGCCAACTGCTCTTGCGCACCTGCTCAAAGAGCTTCTGAGAGCCGATCTCTAACAAGGGAACTGCTGGGCCGGGGTGTTCCTGTGGAACACGCTCCGTCTGTACGGCCAGACTGCTCCTGGGAAGAATGTGCCAGTGGACTTCTGTGGCAGGGGTGCCCCCAGTCCCTGGCAAACGGCATCCCCATGTGTTTACCCACAGACCTCGGGGGTGGAAAGTCCTTCAGGAAGAGTCCCCTGTTGGACAGCAGAGGGCGCTCTGCCTGCCTCTACCCGCCCCAAGCTCTGCTTCTGGTAGGGTTCTGGAAAGGTCTGGCCATAGGGATTTCCCCTGGACTTTAAATTCCCCAAGAGCAAGGCAGGGCTGGGCCAGGCCTGGGGACTTGTCTGCCTTTGACCTTCAGCAGGTTTCCATACTCCTGTTATAGGTCTGCAGCCAACAGGTGCAGGCTGCTGAGTTTGTACCCAGCATCCCTCAACCCCCCCTTCTAGCCTTACTTCCTGGGGAGCTGCTCTGGGCTCTGCTCAGTCCTCCAAACCCTCTGGGGCACCAGCACCTTGCCAGTTTTGTGGGTTTCAGCCAGGCTCAGAGATAATGAGGTTGACATTGATGATGGTGATGAGGAAGGGGGCCCACCGGGGCCACGCTTCCCCTGCCCCTCAATTCTCAAACAGTTATGTGTTCTCATCCAGTTGTCCTTGAGACACTCGTGTGAGCAAGGTAAGGCTGGGAAGGAAACTGCTCCCATTTGACAGATGAGCACAGTGAGGATGAGTGAGGTAAAAGGACTTGCCCAAGGCCATACATTTGGCAAGTGTGGCAGCACAAACTGGAGATGATTCTATCTGTTCTCCCCTCTTACCGTGGTTGTTCCTGCCCCTCCAGGCTGTGCTGGATCTGGGGTGGCCAGGCCTCAAGGAGGCTCTGGGACCACACGGGCAGCAGAGGCCAGGACCACGTGGGCTGCCACCCAGCCCGCGTACACAGCAGTTGCTCCATGATCGCTGTGCACTGAGCAGGAAGAAGGCAACTTGGTGCTCACGGGTTTGCCTACTGAGTCTGCCCCTCCCATAGGCCACCTACCTGGGGCCTCCTCTGGCTCTGTCTCAGCCTCAGACTCCTCGATAGCCTCTTGGGACCAAAGCCCACAGGGTCCGATGCCTGGAAGAACTCGTGCAGCCTGTTTGTCCACTGGCCTTCCGACCGGACGTGCAGCCAGATGGTGTCTGAGCAAGAGACAGGAAGCAGAGCAAGGGCTGTGCGGGCCTCCAACAGGCCGCAGGCTTTGCACCGTGGGAGGGGTTGGTGCTGGCCTCAGACGCTTGAGTCCCAGTGGCAATGTCCTTCCTCAGGGTCAAACTAGCTCCACAGGGGCCGGCGCTGTGGTGTAGCTGGCAAAGCCACTGCCTGCAGTGCCGGCATCTCATATGGGCGCCGGTTCAAGTCCTGGCTGCTCCTCTTCCAACCCAGCTCTCTGCTGTGGCCTGGGAAAGCAGTTGAAGATGGCCCAAGTGTTTGGGCCCCTGCACCCGTGTGGGAGACCCAGAAGAAGCTCCTGGCTGTGGACCGGCCCAGCTCTGACTGTTACAGCCATTTGAGGAGTGAACCAGCAGATAGAAGACTTCTCTCTCTGTCTCTCCCTCTCTCTGTCTCTGTAACTCTGCCACTCAAATAAATAAATACATATTAAAACAAAACAAAACAAAACAAATAGACAAACAAAAAAACCTAGCTCCACAGCCAAGGGACTCGGACATCCCAGCTCTCCCAGTGCAGCCAGTGAAGCTGAATAAGGGCTCCGTCTCCTCTCCCAGGCATGTGTCAGAGTTTCTGAGCACACTAGGAACTCCCTAAGGGTGAGGGCCCTGCCTCCTCCACGAGCTGGGGTAGCTCCCATCATTCAACAGCTCTGCATTCAGTAGGTGCTCAATCCATGCTGAGACCAACTGCTCTCATTGTACCCCACATCTGAGGTGTAGCAGGTGTTTGCTGCTGAGGTTCTGTGTTGCGTGGTGACAGGTGGGAAGGAGGGGTCAGGTGTTCCCCTCTGCTGAGGGGAGCCCACATCAGAGCGAGGAGGACCACAGAGGGTCTCCGGCTGAGTCCCTGCTTCCTTCCCTTGTTTTTCTAGACCACAGACTCCCTTGGCTGTACTGGGAAGGCAACGGAGCGTCTCCTCGTTGGGATGAAGTTTTTCAACATACAAAATCACACAGAAGTCATAGCAACACAGAAATCATAAGACAAGGTTTTGGAATGCTGTCACCACAAAGAAATGGCAAATGTCTGAGGTAACGGATACACTAATTACACTGATTTGATCATTACACATTATATGCATTGTGCATGAATCAAAATGCTACATTGTATCTGAGAAATTTGTACAATTACTATGTGTCAATTAAAATCCTAATAGAGAAATTATAGAGGAAACCAGTGTAACAGCTACAAAACATTAGCAAATGTTTTGGTTTAAGAAGACATTGACTCCTTTGTCAGTAAATGTCGGTGAATTCACTCAGCCCCAGCTGCTCTGTGGAATCCCACTCCGGGACACCAACGAACTGAGCTCCACACACAAAGTGGGTGTATTTACCACCCACACAAGCTCATTCAGCTTACTGGGGGAGACTCAGGACTCGTGAGACAGGTGGATTCCAAGCGGAGACCCTGAAGAAAACCCTTCAAGAACCAACCAAGGAGCCAGTGCTGTGGCACGGTGGATCACGCCAGCACTGACAAGGACAGCATCGTGTACTGCAGTGCTGATTCTCCACTGCCAACCCAGCTTCCTGCTAATGCACCTGGGAAGGCAGTGGAAGACGGGCCAAGTGCACACACATAAAGGAGTAGATGCTAAAATAATGATTAAAAATATAGTAAACACAAAAACAAATAGTATAGTCATTTACATCATTAGCAAGCATCATTTAACTATTCATAATTGTATGTGCTAAATGTTTATGTGATGTAGGTATCTATGCCAGCACCACCATATGGTGATATGATGGTTGTTAGGATGTGAATTCACAATAGGAATTTTTCAGCTCCATTATAGAGGGGGCTTCAAAAAGTTTACAGAAAATGTGCATTATAAAAGAGCTATGCCTGGGGCCAGCGCTATGGCCTAGTGGGTGAAGCTGCCACTTGCAGTGCCGGCATTCCATTTGGGCACCGGTTCGAGTCCTGGCTGCTTCACATCTGATCTGGCTCTCTGCTGTGGCCTGGGAGACCAGTGGAAAATGGCCCAAGTCCTTGGGCCCCTGCACCCATGTGGGAGACCCGGAGGAAGCTTCTGGCTCCTGGTTTAGGATCAGTGCAGCTCCGGCCATTGCGGCCAGTTGGGGAGTGAACCAGCAGATGGAAGACCTCTCTCTTTCTCTTTCTGCCTCTTCTCTCTCTGTGTAACTCTGACTTTCAAATTAATAAGTAAGTCTTAAAAAATGCTATGCCTGGATTTCAAAGCTTCTGCACCCAAATAAACTTTAGCTTCTAACTCCATTTTCCATGGACTTTGTGAAGTCCCCTTGTATCTTACAGGACCCCTGCCCCTACCCCCCATCCGTGCAGTCTGTCATGGATCAAAGCGTCACTAGGTGCATGACTGTGGAGAGAGATCTGGAAGGCTGTGCACCAAACAAAAGGGTTCTCCTTGCACGGATTTGCTGGAGGGATTTCCATTTCCCTCTGTACATTTCTATATTGCCTGAACTTTCAGAGAACATAGATGTTCTTTACAAAACATTAAAGGAAGGAAAAGTAGCCCATCTTGATCATCCCCAGCCCAGTCCATTGTACATCCAGGACAGAGGTGTGAAGCCCCATGTGGGCTTATGTCTGCAGCCTGAGCTGTGGGGACTGAGCCGGGGGTCCTGCCGGGCTGGGGCTGGGTGCAGCCTGAGTGGAACTTAAACTTGGAATGGGGATGACTCAGGGAGTCCCTGGCACCCTGGACACCCCTCCCCTCACTGAGCCCAGCAGGGCTCTCGCTGTACCAGAACACCAACACCACCTTACTGGGCACAAGCACTGGGGCCAGCCACCATTGCCAGGCCAATCGCTGGCCTGGCCAGGAGTGCAGGGGTCCAGGTGCCAACTCCAGCAACAGCCTGGGACCAGAAGGCAGGCATGTGCATGGGTGAGAGTCAGAGGACAGCTGGGCACGGCACGGAGGGCTTAGCAGTCCTGTGGGTGCTGGGGACCCAGGCAGAAACGGGGGTGGTTCAGGGCTGGGGGAGAAGAACGCAGGCATTCCACTGCCTTGGGCTCCGTATGGCTCATGCTCGGCCACAGAGAGGAGCCTGGCCTCCCATCACAGCCCCCTGGAAAACGCCTGCGGTGCTGCCCGAGCCAGCCACTCCTCTGCTTACGGACCACCCATGATGGGGCTCCCATTGTGGCGCAGGGCAGTAAGCTGCTACTTGCAAAGCCTGTATCCTATAGCAGAGCGCGAGTCCAAGCTGCTCTGCTTCTCACCCAGCTTCCTGCTAATGAGCCTGAGAAAGCGCTTGGGCCCCTGCTCCCGTGTGGGAGACCTGGATGGAGTTCCAGGCTCCTGGCTTCAGCCCACCCTGGCTACTGTGGTCATTTGGGGAGTAAATCAGTGGATGTAACACCTCTCTTTATCTCTCTCTCTCTCTTTCTCTCACGTTGTCTGTCAAATAAATAATTTTTAAAAAGAGACAGAGAGGGAGAGAGAACCATCCATGGCTCCCAACTGCCTCCGCCCTCCACCCGGATCCCAACTCTGCTCTGCCAGTCCTCAGCCCCACCCTGGCTCTAACTGGCTCACCCTACCTGCTCCCCTGAGCTCCAGAGGCCTCAGACTGCTCCGTGCGTCCAATTTTTCATGTTTCCACACATGCTTTCCTGCGTCCTCCCTCATCTCATAACCACCTACCAACCCTGCAAAGTGCATGGAAGTGCCGCTGTCTCCCTGTAACCCTCCCGCCAGCCGCCAGCCGGGACAGCCCCTGCCACCCCACAGGGTCAGTGTCCTCCTGTCTGCTGCCTTTCCGCTGGGGCTCCTGCCTCTGTGTGTCTCTGGTTGGGGTCGCCGTGTGGCATTCCCAGCCTGCACTGGGCCCACGGCAGCCACGGAGCCGCTGTACCTTTCTGCTCGGGAGCACTGCTGATGGTGAAAGGGTGCCACTCGTAGCGCGCGATGGTGGGGACGTTCAGGTACAAGTAGTCGCCTGGCCGGTAGTGGAAGAGAGGCGGCCGCCGGATGAGGAGGTGAGTGACCTGGGAGGCAGCAAGGGGACCTGCGTCATCCCCGCAGGCCCAAAGCTGCTAGCCGCTCCCTCCCTCTGCTGCAGAAACCTGGCAAGCCTGGGATAGGATGTGACACTGCCCTGGCAGCCTGCCAGCCTGGAGGTGGGCAACAGAGAAGGGGGAGTCAGGCTGGGCCTGAAGTGGGGCCCAGGGTTTGACTGCACTTCTCGGGGTATAAACACAGCTGCTGAGGGGGCCCCCTCCTCCAGGGAGCCTTCCTGACTGCCCCAGCTCTCTTCATGGATTTGGGCAGCACCTCAGCCAGTACTCGGCATTGTCCAGCAGCTCGTGGGCGTCCCCCCGGGGTGTCAATCACCTTCTGTGTGCTAAGCACTTGCTGTGTACCGGAGCTGTGTGCAGCGCCTCCAAAAGGCTCTGCAAGATGGCCGCTGCTTCGTGCCATGTGCCTGAGCAGCGAAGGCTCAGGGAGCTTGCATTACCTGCCCCGGGCCGCCAGGTGGGAGAGGCCTGCTGCTCGCTGGAGCCAGACCCCAGCCCCAGCCCCAGCCCCAGCTCTCCCTGTCCTCAAGTCCAGGGCTGAGCCCGCCAGAGCCGCCTCTCCTCCCTCCACAGACAGCCACGGCGCCTCCCTCCCTCTCCTCCCGAAACGCCACCAGGCACCTGTTCAGCCTTCCTGTGATGTGCAGCCCCTCCCCCCACAGCCACCGCCTCCAGGTCAAGGCCCTTGGCACCTCCCATCTTCACATGCAGCGGGTCCCCGAGCCAACAGCCCCCAGCCGAGCTCCACAGAGCAAGCACAGAAACCCAGCTAGGCTGGATACACACCACGTGTGTTCCACTCATCTCGCCCACCACGCTCCCGGGCTCTCACAGCCTGCACAGCAGGCTGCCAGCTTGGAAGGCCTTTCCCTATCAGGCCCTGCCTGCCTCTCCAGCGTCTCCCTGTTGGCCCTGTCCTGGTTATGCCCAAGGGCCCACAGTTCCCCCAAGTACAATGGACCCTTTCATAACTCCATGCTTTTGCAAGTTTGCTTCTTCTCCCAGAAATACCTTTCCTGCCTTAGCTTCCAACAAACTCCTATTCAACCCTCAAAACCCTGACACGGGCTCTCCTCCTACATTCTGAAGCATTCCCTGGAGATAGCGTCCAAACAGTTGAACACTGTCTGACATTCTGCTTCTCTCCTCACTGACACACAGCCTAACCCAGCTGCTTGACCCCGGCACCTGCCCCAGGGTGAGATGGGAAAGGGCTCCCCCCGCACCTTGGAGGGGAGGAGGTTGACTTCCACGATGCACAGGGCCTCCATGCGGGACGCTGCCAGTCCGACAGCCTTCTCCAGGAAGAACAGGGTGCCAGGGACCAGCAGCCACTTCCAGAAATTGGGTCCATGCAGGATGAGCAGAAGCCATATGGGGAGGTAGGCCAGGTGGGTCCAATAGAACACCTGGGAGAGCGGGGAGGTGGCCAACCGAGCTCAGGGACCTGGGCGTGCCAGAGAGCCCACTCCCTGGGGACGGTGTTGGGCAAGAGGCTGGGGCTGGGACGCTGCGTTGCTTCTTTGTTCTGGGGACTTGGCTGAGAGAGTGAGCAAGGGAAGGTCCTGATGCTGCAGACCAGTATCTGAGATACAGGCCTGGGGACGCACTGGGCAGAGAGCAACTGTCAAGGTCACTGGTGCAGGAGGAAGCAAGGGGACATCAGTGGACTCCTGGGAGTGGAGAAGCAAGTGCAGGTTTCACCGCCTGCTCTGCTTCTAGCTACGGGGCCTCGGGATGTTCTCTGCCTCTCTCAGCGTCGCACGAGGATGCGGATCCCTACACCCAAGGCTTGTTGCTGTGGCCTGTGGGCGTCTATTCCAGCTGTGGCCAGCTCAGTCCAGGAGACCGAGTCCCCAGGCCAAATCCGCCGGGACTGCCCACATCTTGACAACTGGAACTAACACGTTCAGGGCACCTGTGTGCTGGGTAGCTAGTTAGTGGCTTCATGCAGATTCTCTCACGAATTCTTAACGGAACTTCGAAGGCGGAGAATTACACTTTACAATTTCACAGGTGAGGAAATCGAAGCTCAGCAGAGCTGAGTGACCAGAAAGCAGGGCGGTGGGACTGGACCCCCGGGTGAGCCTGCGTTTCCCCTGCCTTGCCCTGTTTGGGTCCAACTGAAGCCGGTGAGGGCGAGATGTTGGCAAAAGGGCCGAATCTTCCATAGCAAACCATTTTCGCTTGGCAGATCTGAACCACAGCCCATTGGCTGGGAGCCCCCCCACCCCATCACATGCAAATAACATGCAGACCAGCCTGGGACCTTCTTGAGCTCTGGAGTAAGTTAAAGGGAAGGTGTGTGTGTGTTGGGAGGGGGACAGGGTGGGAGCTGGCAGGGGCAGGGCAGGGGCAGGGGCAGAGGCTGGGCACCTCAAAGTGGCCGCTCCTGCGGACGCAGGTGCTGGCACAGGCGACCATGAGCAGCAGTAGCAGCAGCAGGGCGACACCTGTCGGAGAGGCCAAGCCGTGCACCCAGCCGATGCCGGGCCTGGTGGTGAGCAGCAGCTCCCAGAACTGGAAAGGGCTGGCTCCAGAGTGAACTTGCAGCGCTGCAGACGACAAGCCCAGGTCTGCCCACATCGCCTTGCCTTTGGGACCCCGCCCCTATACCCATGAGACACGGGCACAGGTGAGGGCTTTGGCGCAGGGCGCCCGCCAAAAGGGCACCCCCCGCCCCGTGTCCCCTTAGGCTGGGGGCTGGATACTTGAGAGGACCAGGAGACATCCAGCCCCTGCCCCGCCCCACCCCGCCCCCAGCCCTCTCCAGACCACTCACCAAAGTTCACCACGTGGGCCACCGTGTGCACGAGGGACAGCCCGACCACCACGTAGCCCATGAGCTGGTGAAACTGGATGTTGCGGTCCAGGGGCAGGACCTGAGCCAGCCACGTGGCCCGCAGCCAGGTAAGGCAGCGCCTGAACATGAGCACCTGGTAGGCAGAGAAGCAGGGAGCCCAGCCTCTCTCTGTGCCCCATCCCCCGTCCCCCCCCCCCCCGCGCTGCCCGTGCCCTCCTGAGCCAGCTGCACCTCCTGAGTGGGCGTCTCACCCCCCAGCCCCACCCCGTATCCCCCCAGTCTGCACTGCTCCTTGAGGTCCAGCTGGGGTCTCTCTCGGGAATTCCGGGGGAGAAGAGAATGTGTGCGTTTTACTTTTCATGTCAACGCGGGAGCCACACGGAAGCTCGGCCTGATACTTAATGCCCGCGTTGATGTCACGTCCTCTTGGTCCACGGGCTGGGTGGGCAGGTGCCACGTGTCCTGCTCTAGGCGTCCCCTGGAGAAGTCCAGGGCAGTCGACAAGGGCTGTCCTACTTGATCATTGAAACAGGATCACGTTCTGCTTTAAGTTCAAGGCCTCTCTGCCCTGAGCCTGGGACGCGCAGTCAGCCACAGGAATGGCGGCTACAAGTCACTGGCCCCCTCTCCTGGCCTCCCCCTCCACCGAGAGGGCCGGCCCAGCTGATTTCCAGGTGTGGGTGTGGCTTTGCCAGGAACCCGCGCCTGTCCTGCTGCCCGTGCCCCTCCGTGTTCCCGCGGAGCCCTACCGCGATGAAGCTGCAGTCGAAGTTGAGGCACTGGCCGCAGCCCTTGGCCACCATGACGCTGGCGCCCAGGGTCCGGTGCGCGCTGGCCGCCAGCGCGAAGAGCAACACGTGGAGGCCCGCGTAGGCGGCCAGGCAGAGCAGCTGGCTGCGGTGGTTGTGCCAGTAGGCGGGGGTCAGCAGGCGTGGCCGGCGCGGGCGAGGCTGGGCGGCAGGCGGAGTCAGCCAGTGAGCGGCGCTGCGGGAGCGGGGGCGGGGCTCAGAGGGCGGGGTGGGGAGAGTGGGGAGCGGGGCACCTGTGCTGGGCACGGGGTGTGGGCTCTAAGAGAGTTCGAACCTGGAGACCTCCTCTCCGCTTTCTCCGGCCGACTATTTGGAGCCCCGTGGCAAGCGTGTGGGGTCACCAGGAAACAGAGAGGTCAGCGACTTGGCCACAGTCACATAGCCGGGGGATGGCCCCGCCACCTCGGCCATTTCTCAGTTTTAAAAAAGGACAGGCATTTGGCATAGCAGGTAAGACACTGCTTGGGAGCCCTGCGACTCACCTCACAGTGCCTGGGTTAGAATCCCAGCTATGCGTCCAGTCCAGGTGCCGAGCTGCACCTGGGAGGCGGCTAGGATGGCTGAAGTGCTTGGGCCCCTGCCACCCACGGGGGAGACCTGAATGGAGCTCCTGGCTCCCGGCTTTAGCCTGGCCCAGCCCCGGCTGTTGCCAGCATTTGGGGAGGAAACCAGCTCTCTCTCTCTCTCTCCCTGCCTTTCAAATTTAAAAAAGAAACTCTTTTTTAAATTAAAAAAAAAAAAAGCCATGGATGGGACGAGAGAATCTGAGGTGTGTTTTTGGCACAAGGAAGTTTACACCATAAAAGGAGCTGTAGACCCGGCACCGCAGTTTGGAGTCGGATAAACTTGAGGATGTCCTTACAATGCGACATGTGTGACCCTTGTTGCTTCTCCAGCTTATTGCCATGTCCTGGTCCGGGACGCGGCCCCAGGGGGCCTGGCCGCCCGCCCAGACGGCTGAATGACAGCTGTCTTCGTGCACTCCTAGGCTCGTTACCGTTAACTGTGATTGCCTTTTGTGAAATGTGCATTGCCACAGAACGCACTGGTGCTGCAGAACACGAGGGCAGACTGGTGCCCGCGGGAGAAAGGGAGCTCACAGACCGGCTGCGCTGGGAAGGGACTGGGGTGGAGGAGGGGCCTGGAGGGCACGGGCGGGGCCTGGGAGCACTGAGAGCGGGGTCTGGGGGCGGGGCCTAGGCGCACTGGGGCGGGGCCTGGAGGGGCGGGGCCCCTGTGCACTCCGGCCAGTCTCCGGACCCAGGGTAACCTCGCGGTGGGCCGAGAGCCCCCAGTACCTGATGGTGAGGTTCTCCAGGACCCCGGGGAAGCGCTGCAGCTCGTCCCGGAGCTCGTCGAAGGTGATGGCCCCGCTGCCGTCCCGGTCGGCCGACTGGAAGAGCGCCAGCGTGAGCTGGTCCAGCTTCTCGGCGGGCAGCGAGAGGGCGCTCTCGCGCAGGCACGACTGCAGCACGGTGCGCAGCTCGTCCACGTCGATGGAGCCGTTGCCTACCCAGGGCGCAGGGCGGAGGCCGGGCGCGCGTGAGCCCTCGCCGGCCCGCGCCCTGTGCCCACGCGCCCCACAGAGCGCCAGCTCCCGCACCGCCGGCTTTCCGCCAGCCACGTCCGGTCCGGGGACTCTCCTGCGCTCAGAACCGTGCATGGCTCCCTACTGCCCAGCACCAGTCTCCCCAGGCACGAGGAACCTGGGGCCTCACCGCAAGCCTATCTCCAGAATCCGCGCTGTCTGTAAGCACCACTGCGCTCCCTAGCCCAGCACCTGGAGCGCGCACTTGCCTGCTCTGGCCCGGAGGCTAAGGGGCCGTGTGCGCGTTGTGCGTGGGGTGGGGAGTGGCGCAAGCTGTCTGCCGCGTTGTCCCCAGAGAAGCCCCAGCCGAGTTGAACTTTGGGCCCATTTTTTTTTTCCCTTAGCGTATGAAAGATCTTCAAAAAGCCCATGGAAAATGTGCATTATGGGGCCGGCGCTATGGCAGAGCGGGTACAGCTTCCTCCTGCAGTGCTGGCATCCCATTTGGGCGCCGGTTCGAGTCCCGGCTGCTCCACTTCCCATTGAGCTCTCTGCTATGGCCTGGGAAAGCAGCAGAAGGTGACCCAAGTCCTTGGGCCCCTGCACCTGCATCGGAGATCCGGAAGAAGCTCCTGGCTTTGGATTGGTGCAGCTCCGGCTGTTGCAGCCAATTGGAACCAACGGATGGAAGACCTCTCTCTCTCTCTCTCTGTTTCTGCCTCTCTTTCTCTGTGTAACTCTGACTTTCAACTAAATAATAAATGAATCTTTTTTTAAAAAAGTGCATTATGAAAAAAACTATGCATGGATGGCAACTTTTTTGTTTTTTAACAAAACCCCCTATCTTTTAATTCCGCCTTCCCACGAGCCCGTTGAAGCAGTCTCACATTTTCATTCTTCAGGAGCCGCAGGCCTTGCGATAACCCAGCCTGCTTTCCCTGCAGACACACCCCGCTTCTGCCCCTCACTAAGCCCAAGGGTGGCTCTCAGACCTTCAGAGCCGCGAGCCTTGCTTTGCTCATCTGTAAAATGGGGATAGCCATTCCTCCCTTCCAGAATTGCTCAAGGCTAGTAGCTCGTCAGGAAGCTGCCGGTGCAGATCTGGAAGGAGGTAACTGCATAGAACCGGACATTCTGACTGCTGCTGTGATGGTCATTTGGGCCCACGCCAAAGCCTGTCACCCCGTGCAAGGTGGAGTCACCAGCATCACTCCCCCTCCTGTCCCCTCCCCCACCCTAGTCACAAGCAGCCACCGCCACAGGTCCCCGCCCTCACCCCAACGCCAGTCTCTTCCTGCCCTCCCGTCCTGATGCCCTCTTGTCCTCACAGCTTCCTTCTCTCCTTGGCCAATTCCAGACCCACAGTCCTCCTTCTCGGTCCCTCTGTCCTATTCCACTAGCCCTACACATATCCCATCCCTGGGTGAACCCAGCGCAGGGCAGCTGCGTGAACATTGCGGAGAAAAAGCACCCGGAAGAGCAGCACTGCGCTGATGCCTGATTTCAGCACGATCTTAACTCGCCCTACCGTCACCTCTCGCTGCCCCAGGAAGGCTGCTCCCCTGCTCTCTGCAAGAGCCACTGCCTGTCTCACGCCCACCCCCACCTTGCCTGACTCCCGGACAACACCGCGGCCACTGGAGAGGAATTTCCTGTGGGTCCTGCCCACATCCACAGACCTTTCACCCACCTGGCCTGCCCTTGCTCCCCACCTCTGCGCTCCAGGAGGCCACGCCTCCACATGAGGTCATCGCTAGTCCCCAGGGGTGACCGAAGCCAGGTGGTCAGAAGGCAATCAGTGATGAGAGTCCCCTGGGGTCTGAGGAAGACATCCAGGAAGCAGACAAGGTCTACACCACCCATGGAGTGGAGCCGTGTGGGTTACCTGGGGAGTGGTTCCAGGAACCAGGTGTGCTTAGATGGGGGCAGGCGGGCTTGGGAGCCAGAGAAGCCTTGGCCCAGGACCGCGGATCTCTACAGAGAACCTGAGATTTCCTAGACTGTAAATCCAGCCCTGTGACTCCCGTGCTGGGTGCTCTTTGAGGGTTCCCCGCTGCTCATGGGGCTAAGACTCTAAGACAGGGTCTCTGTGGCCCTGCCCTGGCTGGCCCTGGACCTGGCTGCTCCACTTCCCATTCAGCTTCCTGCTAATGGCTGGGAGGCCCCGGCCCTCACCCCACCCCCAACCCAGGCGCCGGAGGAGCGCTCACCATCGACATCGTACACCTGGAAAAGGAACTTGAGTTTGTCCATAGGGCTCCCATGGATGAGCAGGGTCAGCGCCTCCTGCAGCTTCTGGAGGGTGATGGTGCCGCTCTTGTCCGAGTCGAACAGGGCAAAGAATCGCTCCGCAAAGAAGGACTGCGGGCAGGAAGGGTGGGCACAGGCACAGATGTGATGGCCGGGCTTGCCACTGTCTTTGCCTGACTGCAGGATCAAGGCACACACAGGGGGCAGCGGCATCCTACAGGGCTCTGAGCACCCAGAGGAAGAGCTGTGCCGGGCCCCGCAGTGAGGTGGGGGTTGGCTGGGGCCCCAGGCATGTGAGCACCTGTGCACGCCATCACCCCCATCAGCCTTGCCGTTCAGAACTCTGGGGGGCCGGGAGGGAGTCAGAGGGAGGGTCCCCTGCAGGCTCCTCACAGGCCCTGTCTCATGGGGGAAGGACTTTAGCGTAGATTCTACTTGTCTATCTGAGGCTTGAGGCTGCTTCCAGCCAGCATGGAGGTGCTCACTTGTTGGTTCCACAGCCGTGGGCTGTGCAGCTCCTGCTTGCAGGCCTGAGATCAGAGGTTGGAAACACAGACCTGCATGGCTTGGGTGGGGATCCCAGAGGTGCCCAAGCCTGGGGGGCTTCCTGGAGGGGGTGGCAGGGAGGAGCCTATAGGGCTGTATTGGCTGACACCCCAGATTTCTTCTTCTTCCTCTGCAACCCTTGGGTACCACTGCTGTCACTCAGTCCTCCAGAGGGGCCGTTCTACAGCCCCCTGTTTGGGTGGGGGTGCAGAATGGGCCACCTTCCCTCCTCACATGTGCTGGGAGAGGCACATCTCTGGTCCCCACAGGCCAAGGTGCTTCAGCTCCACAGGTGCCATGCAAGTGCTCATTGGCTGACCCCTATGGGGCACACGGGCCACCCTGACACACACACCTCCAGCCCCATGCCAGTCCAGGAGAGAGTTTGGTGCTCTGAGATCACCCCACCACCTCTGCTGACATCACCCACCAACTGTGTGGGTGTACAGGCTGTGAAGGGGGCGGGCAGAGGGCTGGGGATGGCGGGGTTCTGCACACAGGGCTTCCACACTGGCGTAAGGCAGCACCAGCTCTGTCCAGGAGGCTCACAGGGATTGTGAGAGATTCCACGAACTACTGATTTCCAGCCTCGGTGGGCTTTGGAAGACCCCAAGGGGGGTCACAGCTACTGGGGGGTGGGAGGGCACCGGGAGCAGCCTTGCTTACAGGTGGGGGACCCTGAAGGACCCCCGGAGCTGCCTCCCTTCCTTGTGAGGCTGTTCTGAGAACCGGGAACTGGATACAATATGACTGCAGGGCGAGCTGCCACTCAGAACGCTCAGCTCCCAGGTCGGACGGAGCGCCTGGGTCAAGTCCCAGCTCCGCTTGGACTGCAGCTTCCTGCTCCTGCACCTTGGGGGCAGCCGATGATGGCTCACGGCCTTGGATCCTTGCCACCTGTGTGGGCGGCCCGGCTGGAGTTCCTGGCCCCCGCCAACTGTTTCAGCCATTTGGGGAGTAAATTAGTGGGTGGGAGATTCAGTCTCTCTCTTTCTCTCTGCCTTTCAAATAACACACACGCACACACAGGGCGCCCTCTGCTGGGCCAGCACTCGCCTCTTTCACGTTCAGAGCCGCCTTGAATTCCTGCAAGCTGATCTCCCGGTCCTCTCCCGCAATGGCCTCAAACTGGTGCGTCACCCATCGCAGCCACTTGGTGTCCTCCTGGGCAGACAGGGTGCTGGAGACAAAGGAGGTGGGGTTGGGGCTCAGCCTCTGCCCCGCCCCCACAGCTCCTCCTCCTCTTCTCCACCCTGGGGCTCCTCTAGGGCCCCCACCCCTGACCCTCCAGCCTCCCTGCCCACTCAGCAAGGACACCCTAGTTCTTCTTGGCGCCTCTGCCCCACCTGCCACACACTTCTCCTCAGACACTCCGACTCGGGTGATGGATTGGGGCTTTCTGGGTGCCTGAACACCTGCACCTTCAGGGCAGGCTGGGGAGTCCCCTCCCTTCCAATATTGCCGTGGGCTGGGCGACTGAGGTCCTGGCTTGGGGACTTCAGAGCCTGGGCCTGGAAGTGTGGATCTGAGCAGCACGCGCAGAGCTGCAGGTTGAACCCAGGCCTTCAGAAACGCTCAGACATGTTGGGGGGAGGGGCGAGCTTTCCAGAGCACCCCGGCCTGCTGGGGGACCCTGTGCCATCATCCGGGTTCCCTGTTTCTCTCCTGATCTCTTCTTAGGAAGGTATTTTATGCTGTATATGCAGTGTGTGTGTGTGTGTGTGTGTGTGTGTGTGTGTGATATGACAGTCTTCAAATAGCTCATGTAAAATGGAATTAAAAATAAGTTCTTTTTGCTGTCAAGTGTTTGAAATCCATGTATGGGAGAGGTCTTCAAAAATATTCCTGAAAAATGATTACTATGAAAAACTGCATGAATTTCAAAATATTTTTGCACCAAAACAAACATGCCACATAATTCCATTGTTCCATGAACATTCTGATGTATCCTTGAGTGTGCTTTGGTGCCTGTATCCGCACCTATTTTGCATGCTTTCACGTGTGTGATGTATGTACACACTCGGGGGGCGTGGAAGAGTCCATGGATGGCAGAGTTGAAAGATAGGGCGGGGTGTTGCAGGGCGGGGGTTAAGCTGCTGCTTGGGTCTCCTGCTTCCCACGTAGACATCAGTTCAAGTCCCGGCTGCTCCACTTCCGATCCAACTCCCTGCTAATGCACCTGGGCAGCAACAGAAGGTGGCCCAAGTGTTTGGGTTCCTGCCGCCCACATGGGAGACCCTGGCTTCTGGCTTTGGCCTGGCCAGCAGATGAAATCTCTCTCTCTCTCTCTCTCTCTCTCTCTGCCTTTCAAATAATTTTTTTAAAGTAAATCTTTTTTTTTAACTTTAAAAAGGCAAGTCATGTGCATTTCTGTGAACTTGCCAATGAGCTGTGGGACGTGTATCCCACTGCTGCATCCGGGCCGTGTGCACCTGCTCAGTCTCCTCTTGTACTGACCAGCCTGCGAGAGCTCAGCTTGTGGAGCTGCTGTGACCACGCGCAGCCCCCAGTCTAGCACACGGCCCGCAGGAGTCCCGTCCATCCTCCACCTCTTTTCACACCTGTGAACTCACTCTACCTCCCAGTCAGCAAAGCGCTCAGGGCCCCCATATCCCAGAGGGCACGTGGAGAGGAGGTAGCCCCCCAGAGCCCCACCGTGACTTGTGGCACAGCCATGCACTGGGCCCCGGAGTCCTGGGCATGTGCTGGGCTATGGGCAGCTCCTCCCTGGAAATGGGGGCCAGGGTGGGACCTGAAAGCCTGCGCCCGAAGTGGCGGGAGCTGTGCCAATGCCAGGCTAGCCTCCCGCCCACTCAGGCCCCTTTCGCACTGCCTGCGGTGGGGCCTTGGCCTTCCTGTGTGCCAAGCTCCTCATCCTCAGTATACCCGCCCCTTTGGTCTTTGGAGCAGCCTGGCGGGGCAGGCGCCACTATGGTTATGGTGATATCCCTGCTGGGCCAGCACAGAGAGGTGCCACAGCTTGCAAAAGTGGGAGGGGCTTCCAGCCAGACCTCCCACTCCTGGTGCGCCAGCCAGGGAGCCCCCTTTGAAATGTGGCTGCCCTGAGCTTCCTGGATGACACCAGCCTGGCTGCAGCCCCGCCCAGCAACTCCGCTGACACCTTTGCTGATGGGGTGGCCTCCACAGCCACCAAGCCTGGGGTGCGTGCTCCTGAAGTCCCTGAGCTGATGCTGGTTTCCCACCACTGGCCCCAGGACCCTTGCACCTCCGTCTGATTTCGAGGTACCTTCCAGCTGCTTTGAGGCAGCCCTCCGCAGCCCCCAAAGGCGCCCTCCCACAGGGGAATGGCCCCCAAGCAGTGAGCATGCCTGGCAGAAGCAGGAGAGCTTATGCAATGAGCATTCTCTCCACATGGGATAGGGCCCAGGGGTCTGCACCACAGACACGTGTGTGGGTGGTCCGGGCCCAGCCCTGGAGAAGCGCCACCCTGAGTGTTAAACAGCCCCTGTTTATTTCACCTCCTGCGGTGCCTGGGGCAGGCAGGGCAGAGAGCAGAGAGGACTCTGGGGCACAGGCCCGTGCAGGGGTGGCCGAGGGTGGCTGGGATTGGGTAGCTGTTGTTTGTCCCCTGCTTTTTAAACAAGAAGGGTGGCAGCCCCCCTGGAATGGGAAGGGACCAGCAGAGACCAGGACAGCCAGAGCGGGCAGGTGGCGAGAGCGGGGGGTGGGGTGGGGTGGAGAAAAGGAGTCAGGGAAGCAGAGGAAAGAGAGCAGGACCTGCAGATTTCAGGGCAACAAGACATCTGCGTGCTCAGCGGGGCCGGAATCCACGCAGGGGCAGCCTTGCCCTGCAGCAGCCCCCGACCACCCTGCCAGCAGCCCCACAACGGGGGCCTGAGCCAGGGTGGGAAGTGCCACTGGGAGGCCCAGGTCAGAAGCGGGGGTGGGTGCACTGCTCTTGGGCTGACACGGCCAATGCCTTATATCACAGATGAGAAAACAGGCCCAGAGATGGCGAATGACTTGTCCAAGACGGCACGGCACGCCAGTAACAGAGCAAGAGCGGAACTCAGGTCTCCGAGACTTGTGCCCACCGCTGACACCGTCACACTCTGTAAATTCACAGAGGCAATGAGTTCGGCCATTGCTCCTTCCTCCCCGCAGTGGAGAGGCCCGGGGGGGGGGGCACTCACCTTCTGCCGCCCTGGGGACCTGGTTGGGCAGGGTCTCCTGGTGAGCTCATCGCGCCTCTGGAGCACACATCCGAGCAAGGCGACCGTCAGCCCCGCAGCCTGCGTGGTGAGGCCGCCTCTCCCAGCTCCTCCCAGTCCTGACTTTCCTAAAGACCTGCTCGCACTCAGGGCCGCTCTGTGATCCAAGTGCTGGCTGGTGGCTGACTTGGTCCAGAGAAATTCCAGCCAGGAGGTCTGGTGCAGGGGTGGGGCTGGGCTTTTATTGGAAGGATGTTGGCTGCGGTCCATCTGCTGGGTCGGTGCCTTCCACTTTCCCTCCCTCATCAAAACCCCATGCATGCAGCCCAGGGGCCTGGGGGGTGGGGTCTAGGAAAGCACCGTGGAAAAATCACCAGCAGCCGGGGCAGGCCCTGCTAGGAGAGTAATCAGCAGTGGGGGATTTGGTCCATAACCCATAATATCGATGACCAGCAAAATGAACTCTTGCGCTTTCATCCTGCCTGGGCTGAGCCTTTCCACACCTAGCACAGCCTGGGGCAGGGGTGGGGAGTGGGGTTCACTGTCAGCATTCTGCAGATGAGGAAGAAGAAGCCTGGAGGCTAGTGACAATGGCAGGTGTCTCAGCAGGCCCCCTGTTAAACTGATCCTGGAGACCGTGCCACCCAGGGAGCTAAATTCTGGCCCAATGTGCTGTGTTGGGACACCCACAGGCAAGGTTCCCAGCCCACAGATCCTGGGATCTACAGGCTCTTAAAAAAAGAAAGAGACAGAGACGGGGCCGACGCTGTGACGCAATGGGTTAATGCCCTGGCCTGAAGTGCCAGCATTCCATATAGGTGCTTGTTTGAGACCTGGCTGCTCCACTTCCGATTCAGCTCTCTGCTATGGCCTGGGAAAGCAGTAGGAGATGGCCCAAGTCCTTGGGCCCCTGCACCTGTGTGGGAGACCCGGAAGAAGCTCCTGGCTCCTGGCTTCAGATCAGCTCAGCTCCAGCCATTGTGGCCAATTGGGGAGTGAACCAGGAGATGGAAGACCTCTCTCTCTCTCTGCCTCTCTGTGGCTCTGGCTTTCAAATGAATAAATAAATCTTAAAAAAGAAATAAAGGAAGGAAGGAAGGAAGGAAGGAAGGAAGGAAGGAAGGAAGGAAGGAAGGAAGGAAGGAAGGAAGGAAGGAAGGAAGGAAGGAAGGAAGGAAGAAAGAAAGAAAGAAAGAAAGAAAGAAAGAAAGAAAGAAAGAAAGAAAGAAAGAAAGAAAGAAAGAAAGAAAGAAAGAAAGAAAACCTCAGGCTGATAACCCCGGGCAGCTGGTGGAGATCAGGCCCTCCTAGGGTGCTGTTGCGCTGTCTCTGGCTGTGTGATTTTGATTCACAAGGGCACTTCAGTGAGTTCATGTAAACAGTTTCTGCAATCCAGGCAGAGCTTTCCATAGCATGCGTGTCCTGTGAATGGTCAGCACACCCTGCAAATGTGCGACTTCAATTTTTTCCTTTTTGTGCCAGAATGAACTTATCTCTTCATTCCGCCTGCCATGGGCTTTCGGAACTGCCCCAGATATATTTTGTGGTTTTTAGCCTCCAATCCTGGTTCTTGTCGCTCCCCCTCTTCGTGGAGGAACGACACAGGACCCTGCGCTGTTCTTTCGTCTGCTCGGCCCTCCCCGGGTTTGCTGCTGGTTCTTCCCGGGTTGGCTACTATCCCTTCCACCTCCGTGGAAGGGCAGTTCCCCCTGGCCACATTCCCCACTTCCGCAGGGGAGCGGCACACCGCCGGCCGGCTTTCTCGGGGGCTGCACAGGTGTTCCTTCAGCTAGATGTTCCCCTTAGATGTTCCTGGTGCATGCCGTCTCTCTCCTCCTTTATAGTCCTCCTCCGCCAATCCCAACTCGGCTGCCCACACGCCGAGTACGCTGCTCTCCAATCAGGAGCAAGTCCTACAGTTTATTAGCTGAACTGGAGGCAGCTGTGCGGAAGCTGTTTACTTCTCTCCCAGCGCCATATTGTGGGAGAGCAGATGCATAGAATAAGTCTTAATTCCAGTAACTCAGTCTAGTCCAGATTGCTCCCCACAGATCCCCCTTTCTTTTTATTTTTGGCGTTGATACGCGCCTGTCTTCGGTGCCCCGTGGCACACACTCTGCTCTGCTTGCTAGAGTTGCCACAGGTTCTTACAAGTCCTATCAATCAGGCAAACCGAATCCGGGTCCTCTCTTCGCCATGTTGTGAGGAGGTTTTTAGGCGCTGATGCGTGCCTGTGTTCGGTGACCTGCGGCTCACACTCTGGTCGAGCCGCTTGCTGGTGCTTACCGCCTTAATCAGGCAGACCGAATCCAAGCTTTCTCATTGCCGTATTGTGGGGGAGACTTATTAGTGTTGGTTCGTGCCTATCTTCGGTGACCTGCAGCTCATACTCTGGTCGAGCTGCTTGCTGGTGCTTACCGCCTTAATCAGGCAGACCGAATCCAAGCCTCCTAATTGCTGTATTGTGGGGAGGCCTTACTGATGTTAATTCGTGCCTGTCTTCGGTGACCTGCGGCGCATAAGCTGCTAGCCGCCGCAGGTGCTCATCGCCTCACTAATCGGGCAGACCGAACCAAGCCTTCTAATTGCGGTATTGTGGGGAGGCCTTACTATTTCTCTATTTCTCTATCTCCGGGCATTCCTATTTCTCCCATTTTACTTCTATCTGCCAACATTCCTATTTCTCTCATTTTACTTCTAAACTTCTGTTTCTCTTATCCCCGCGGCTTCCCGGCGCCTCGCCCTGCCGGCAGCTTCACGGCTCCGCGCGGCTTCCCGGCGCCTCGCCCCGCCGGCTGGCTCCGCCCCGAGGCTGCTTCTCGGTGCCTCGCTGGCTCTGAGCCGCTTCAGCCCGCGCCTCTCTCATCTGCGCAGCTCGGCTTTGCGCGCACACTCCGCGGTTACGCACTAGCCCTTTCGCGTCTGAACCACGGCCTCGCGCCAGCCCCGCGCTCCCTATCTATTCACGCCCCGTGCTCTCTCTGCACGCGGCGGCCTCCGCAAGTCACCCAGCGTAGCTTGCGTCTCCACCACTAGCATTCAATCCAAGTTCCCCGGGCTAGCCTGGCGAATTCAACCCAGCTCACGTCTCTGCCCCACGATTTGGCTTCCCGTCCTTTGCTCCCCGGGCTAATCAGACGGATCCCAACCAGGCTTACGTTTCCGCTTCTGGTTTTAACTTTTCGCCCCCTATTCCTGGGCTAACTTGAGAATCCCAAAGTGGCTTTCGTTTCCGCCTCGGCCTGCCCCCCGCGGCTTCAATTTCCCTAACATTTTTCTCTACCCGGTATGTTTCCCCAAGCTTTCCTCCAACAATACTCCTCCCTCATTTCTCCTGGCCTCTCCCCACAGTCCGCATCCGAGTCTGTTTATTCTAGCTTTCACTTTCGCTTTCGACCTTAGAGATTTCTCCCAGCTTCCCCCCGTAGTCCGTATCCGAATCTATGCCTAGGCTTTCAATAGCTTCTTCCGGCGCCCTTTTCGTCCGGCTTTTCCCTAGGCTGTTTGCTAGTCTCTCTCTCTGGTATTTTCCTGCTTCTTCCCGTTTCTTCCCTCCTAAGTTTCCTATCCGTCCTAGGTTTCCTATCCGAGTCACGGCACCATTATGTCGCTCCCCCTCTTCGTGGAGGAGCGACACTGAACCCTGCCTAGGCTTCATATCCGAGTCACGGCACCATTATGTCGCTCCCCCTCTTCGTGGAGGAACGACACAGGACCCTGCGCTGTTCTTTCGTCTGCTCGGCCCTCCCCGGGTTTGCTGCTGGTTCTTCCCGGGTTGGCTACTATCCCTTCCACCTCCGTGGAAGGGCAGTTCCCCCTGGCCACATTCCCCACTTCCGCAGGGGAGCGGCACACCGCCGGCCGGCTTTCTCGGGGGCTGCACAGGTGTTCCTTCAGCTAGATGTTCCCCTTAGATGTTCCTGGTGCATGCCGTCTCTCTCCTCCTTTATAGTCCTCCTCCGCCAATCCCAACTCGGCTGCCCACACGCCGAGTACGCTGCTCTCCAATCAGGAGCAAGTCCTACAGTTTATTAGCTGAACTGGAGGCAGCTGTGCGGAAACTGTTTACTTCTCTCCCAGCGCCATATTGTGGGAGAGCAGATGCATAGAATAAGTCTTAATTCCAGTAACTCAGTCTAGTCCAGATTGCTCCCCACAGTTCTGAACTCCCCCCACCGAGGCAGCTCAGAGAAACCAGTTCTCCCGGAGGCAGATCTTGGAGACTCGGATCTTCCCCTGCCTGCTTGTCCTGGAGCTGCTTGCGGACGCTCCCTGGCCTGTCTTGTCCCCAGCAGATCAATAGATCCTGAGTCGGGGGAGGCTCTGCCCTGTGCCCGGGTGGGAGGACCCTGCACAGAGCAGACCTGGCCGCTTTCCCCACTCAATCTGCTACCATAGGTCCCCCTCCTCTGTCCAGTCCCATTTCTACACAGTTGGCCAGACTTCTCCAACACTTGTGCAATGAAGTCTTCAGAAAAAGCTCCAAAGGACAGGGTTCGGAGAGCTTCCGGATACCTGAGTATGGGGGGGGGGGGCGTGGTGCACCTGCGCAGGGCGTGGCAACTGGGCGTCCCCCCAACCCATGTATCTCTTCATCTGTGTCTTTTGTAATATCTCTCATTTATTTTATTTTATCTATTTGAAAGGCAGCGTGACAGAGAGAGAGAGGGAGAGACAGAGAGAGAGAGGTCATCCCATCTGCTGGTTCACTCCTCAAATGGCTGTCACAGCTGGGCTGGGCAGCCAAAGCCAGAGCCAGGAACTCCATCCGGGTCTCCCATGTGGGTGCAGGGGCCCAAGGACTGCTTTCCCAGACGCATTAGCAGGGAGCTGCATTGGAAGTGGGGCAGCCAGGCCTCCAACTGGTGCTTTATGATAAAACGCTGGTGTCCAGAGGTGGCTTCACTCACCGCACAACGCTGGTCCCTGTACTGTTTGCTATGATACACTGGGAGCCTGTTTCCCTGAGTTCTGTGAGCTGCTCCAGCAACTGCATCAAACCTGCCGATGGGGTTGCGGGAAGCCCAACGTGCAACCCGCTGGAAGGCGCAGATCAAGCAACCCCAGGAGCTTGCAATGGTGACTGACCGAGCTCTCCACCTGCGGCCCCTGAGGGCGCCCGCAGGCACACAGAACAGAATTCAGTTAGAGGACACCCAGCTGGGCTCAGAGGCAGCCCGGGGTTGCCTGCTTGCAGAGGGAGAGAACCCCTCGTGCCTTTAGGATCACAGAGGCGCTCAGTGTTGTGAGTCCAAACACAGGAGGAGCCTGAGGTTCAGCTTCTGTTAATTTCCAAAATCAGGGCCAGAATTCATTGCCACCTGGTTTTGAAGCAGAGTGGTAGCAGTGACTCCCTTCTGTGTGGCCCGCGGTGGGGCTCCTTCCAGGAGCTGCCTGGTGGCCGCGGCTCAGGACCCCTGCCCCTGCGCGGCTGCCACGCGACCCCACCTCCCCTCCCCCTCCCCCCAAGCCCAGTTGCTGCTCACTTGGGCCGCCCCGGGCCAGGCAGGGGGACGGTCTGCAGAACTGCTCCACCTCCTGGCGGCCTCTGGAAACGCGCCCGCCCCCACCGGCTGGTGGTCCAGCTACTGGGGGGCCAGATGTGGCAGGCAGACCACGTGGGGCGCTCTTCCGTGGCGCGGACTGTGACGACAGCATTTTGGGGGGCCCATTTCAGGATCCTGGGTGAGGCTTCCCTGATCTTCCTGATAGTAGAGTCGGA